ACAGGCCAGCAGGGGAGACCACTCTGGGGGAGACCAATGGACAGCATTCCTAGGACAGAACCAGTAGGTGGGGGAACACTGCTGGCCAAGGCAGGGAAGGTGATCCCCAGCATCAGTGAGCAGGGCTACCAGCACTATTTCCAGCTTCTTTAGCTCTGAAGACACCCCCTTCCCCCAGGAGGAGAGTCTGGCCGACAGCTTTTCTGCTTTCTCTGAGTTCGGGCTGCGACTGCTGCGCCAGCTCCGGGATTACTTCCCTGCCACCAACAGCACAGCCGTCTACCGACTGGAGCTGCTGCTGAAGTGGGTGCAGCTGTGAGCAGGGGTGGGGTGGGGTGGGGTGGGTGCTGGCTGGGCCCCCGTGAGTGTGCTGTCCTTGCCCAGGTGTCTGGACAAGCTGCAGCTCTTCCAGCCCTCCTTTGAGATCTGCCCCTTTGAGACGGAGCTGAACATGGACATCGCTGCTGCCCTGAAGGTGTGTTTGGACCTGCCTGGGCTCTCCATGGGCCCTGCCCAGCCTAGCCCTGCTTGGACTTGCTGGTCCATGGCCCCTTGCCATCTCTCCCTTCTCTCCAACCCATGCTGCCTTGCTGGCGACCCTTGCAGAGGGGCAACCGTGAGTGGTACGACAGGCTCCTGAGTGCCAAGAGTCCTCGAGAGCTGGTGAGGATCCAGGCAGCCTTGGTCGTGGTGGGCACAGGGGCTGGGAGATCAGTGCAAACCAGGCTTCTTTGCAGCCAGGACCACAGCGCCTGGCCGGGCTTGTCGAACTGGCAGACGTCATCTATGAGGACTTGCAGGCCTGCTATGGCATCTACGCCAGCCTTTTCCATGGGTAGGCCCTGTCCTGAGTGCTGATACTGGCCGGGTACAGGGCAGGGTGGGGGCTGGCTGGCCCCTCTGGTGGGGAGCAGGTGACTGAGTTCTGTCCTTTGTAGCATCCTCAAGGTGGACTTCTTCACCCTTACTTTCCGGCAGCTGGAGCGTCTGGTGAGGAGGGTCCTCAACCCTGGGTGCCCACTGACTGTGGGGAGTGGGGAGAGACCTCTGGCTGGGCAGGGCTCTAGTTTCCCTGATGGCAGAGGCATGATCCTGCCATCTTGGGCAGGTGGCCGAGGAGGCATGGGTGCTGACGGAGGAGCTGAGCCCCAAGATGACTCTACAAGTGGCCTCGGGGCTCTTTGAGCTCTACCTGACCCTGGCTGACATCCAGCACTTCTGGAGCTACATCCCCGGCCGGTGGGTGCCTCAACACCTGTGCCCCTGGCTCCTCTGGATAGGCTCTGGGACCTGAGATCAGGGTTCTGTGAAGGAGGCTCTCCCGGATGCCCACTTTGGGGCTCTGAACCTGGAACCTGCTGGGCTGGGGAGTCTGCATCAGGGCAAGTGCTGAGTGAGTTCCCACTGCAGAGACAGTCGCTCCCTGGCGCTGGCCGGCATCCACACCCCATTCCTGCCTGCTGTGAAGCTCTGGCTGCAGGTGCTGCGGGACCAGTCCAAGTGGCGCCTTCAGGGAGCTGTAGATGTGGACACGGTAAGTGTTTGCTCCACCAAAGCACACGGGGGCTTGTCCCATGTCCCCTGCCACTCAGCCCTCCTCCTGCCTTCCAGCTGGAGCCTGTGGATGCCTCGTCCAGGCACAGCAGCTCTGCAGCTACTGCCAGCCTCTGCTTCAGCCACATCCAGGAGCTCTGGGTCCGGCTGGCATGGCCTGACCCTGCCCAGGCCCAGGGGCTGGGCACCCAGCTTAGCCAGGTTTGTCTGCTGGGGTGAGGGGAGCAGGCTATGAGGATATCAGGGCAGAGGAGGGGTCCTGAGTGCCAGCCTGCCTCCCGTCCCAGGACCTGTGTGAGGCTGCCCTCTTCTACACTGAGCTGCTGCGGAAGAAGGTGGATGCCCAGCCTGGAGCTGCTGGAGAGGCTGTGAGTGAGCCGGTGAGTGGCTGGTGGGACAGGTGAGGCCCTGTGGTGGCTGGGTGGGGCCACCTACTGCAGCCACCTGCCTGGCCACTCCTCCCCAGCTCTGTGTGGTGCTCAACAATGTGGAGCTCGTGCGCAGGGCCTCAGGGCAGGCACTGAGGGGCCTGGCATGGCCCGAGGGGGCCTTGGGACTGGAGGGGGTGCTTCCCCGCCCCCTGCTCAGCTGCATACAGGCCCTGGAGGAGGACCTGCATCGGGAGGCCCACACTGTGACGGCACACCTGACCTCCAAGGTGGGCATTGTGGCAGAGCCTGGCATCGGGTGTGGAGGCTGTCCCCGGCATCCCCACCCTCATGCTGAGCATTGCCCTCCCCTCAGATGGTGGCTGATATTCGGAAGTACGTGCAACACATCAGTCTCTCCCCTGACTCTATTCAGAATGATGAGGTGCGTGCCGGCCTCGGCAGGAGGCTGTGAGTGTATGTGTGCTTGGGGTGGGTTAGGGTCCAGGCTCAGGCCAGCCCTAAGGACCCCTGCCCACAGGCTGTGGCCCCACTCATGAAGTACCTGGATGAGAAACTGGCCTTGCTGAATGCCTCGCTGGTGAAGGAGAACCTGAGCAGGTTTGCTGGGCAGGTGGGCATGTTGGGCAGGTGGGGTGGGGCATTCCAGGTACTCATCTAGGCGGTGTGCCTGCAGGGTGCTGGAGGCCCTCTGGGAGCTGCTGTTGCAGGCCATTCTGCAGGCGCTGGGCGCCAACAGTGATGTCTCTGCGGACTTCTACGGGCGCTTCCACTTCACATTGGAGGTAGGGCCATGAGGAGCTCCCCAGGGCCCTCCTCTGATTGGGCCCCTGCTAGGACACCCAGCCTCTGCCTGGCTTCTCCTGTTCCCCGCTGGGCAGCACTTCCTCCCCACAGCCTAGCTGCCCAGCAGCACCTGGGCCACCTGTTACAACAGAGTCTGGCCTCAGATGCTGGCATTTTCCTTGGTCTCCTGGGACTTCTTGTCCATCCCAGGTGTGATGAGTGGCTCTGCCAAGGTGCCCAAGACCCACCTACTGGGGCTCCACACTCAATCAGGCTAGACCCCCTGATGTATCTCCCTTTTTTCTCTCTGCCCCAGGCTCTTGTCAGTTTTTTCCACGCTGAGGGCCAGGGCCTGCCCCTGGAGAGCCTGAGGGATGGAAGCTACAAGGTGAGGCCCAACCCCTCTGGGGGCCACCACATTCAGCCTACTGCCCCACAGTAGGCCCTGTCCTAGTGCATGAAGCCAGGGGGCCATGAGGGCAGTGGCCTATGTGGCCAGTCACCAGCACCCCTCCTCACAGAGGCTGGAGGAAGAGCTGCGTCTGCACAAGTGCTCCACCCGGGAATGCATTGAGCAGTTCTACCTGGACAAGCTCAAGCAGGTAGGATGGCGGCCATCTGTGTGGCCTTTGCCTGGCTCCCTAGCCTTGCTTACTGGCCTTTCCCACAGAGGTCGCTGGAGCAGAACCGGTTTGGCCGCCTGAGTGTCCGCTGCCATTACGAGGCAGCCGAGCAGCGGCTGGCCGTGGAGGTGCTGCATGCCGCAGACCTGCTCCCCTTGGACGCCAATGGTGAGGTGCAGCGGTGGCTGGGGGGAGGCTGGGGCTGGGGGCTTGCTGACAGCTGTGCCCCACAGGCCTGAGCGACCCCTTCGTGATCGTGGAACTGGGCCCACCTCATCTCTTCCCACTGGTCCGCAGCCAGAGGACCCAGGTCAAGGCCCGGACATTGCACCCAGTGTTCGATGAGCTCTTCCACTTGTGAGTGCCCATCCTGTCCCTTGTGCCTATCCCAGCCTGACCCACAGGTCCATGGCTGGCTCTTGACTGCCTCCTCTGCAGTTCTGTGCCCGCAGAAGCATGCCGCCACCGTGGGGCCTGTGTGCTGTTCACTGTCATGGACCACGACTGGCTGTCCACCAATGACTTCGCTGGGGAGGCTGCCCTCAGCCTGGGCAGTGTCAGTGGCATTGCGAGGCCCCAGGTGGGAGCAGGCTCGAGGGCTGGGCAGCCCATCACCCTGCACCTGCGACGGCCCAGAGCCCAGGGTGAGTGAGCGTGGGGTGGTGGTGGGGACACAGGGCAGTGGGCATGGCTCCCACATGCCCTCTTGTCCACCTGCAGTGAGGTCAGCACTGAGGATGCTGGAAGGTCGCACCAATAAGGAGGCACAAGAGTTCGTCAAGAAGCTCAAGGAACTGGAGAAGTGCATGGAGGCTGACCCCTGAACACTCCGCTGCCCCCCATATGCCACATTGTGCAGCCAGGCCTCACTGAGGCCCTCAACTGCCATAGCTGACTCTATATGGCTTCCATCTGCCCTGGCTATGTCCCTTTGGTGTGCTATGAACCCCTTGTGCCCCAGTACATCCTACCCTGAACACAGGCTAACTTGGAAGGACTGGCCAGCAGCTATATCCTGGATGCAGAGATTACAATGGGCCTGGTCATTAAGTGGGCAGCTCCCTAGTCTCAGTAGAACCTTGCTCCCCATGGCCATTAGGCAGTCTGGAGACACTCTAGGTAGTCAGAACTAGAAAAGACATACTAGTATGAGAGGGTGGGGGCCAGGGATGCTGCTCAGTACCCTTCAGTGCACTCACTGGTCTGTCCCCAACTGGCATGGTGGGCTAGGGTCCAGGCTGACCCTAGCCTGGAGGGTCCTCTCAGAGGAAGCTCTACCCTATCTCTCTCAGGAAGAGTAAGGCCCCCACAGGTTGAGTCAAGTTTGGAGGACCCAAGCTTTGGAGGACAGTAGCTGCCAGGGCTAATAAGTAGAGGGTAGGGTGCCAGCCCTCACCCACAGATGAACAGAGAAGTCTGTGGAAAATCATGTGGGGTTCCAGACCCCACCTGGCTCCTGGGCCTGGCAGGAGGTATATGTCACCAGTGATAGGAGGGTGACAGGGAAGTCAGGGGTTCTGCATCAGCTGGTCAGCTGTCCTTCCCTGCAACACATGCATGACCACATCACTTATCCCATGGCCCAGTCTCTGACAAGCAGTCCCTCAACCCCAGGCTAAGTGCAAAGAACCAGACTCACACCAGGGGCTACTTCTCAACCTGTAGTTTCATTGAGAGTATCTCAAGCAAGGTTATTCCCATGTGGAGAGGAGCACAACGCTGCCAGGCCTGGCTGTCCCCACATTCCTGGACTTTGTTATCACACAGCTTCAACAATGTATGTGGTGTCTACAATTCTCAGTCTCTCTGCTGTTTCTTGATATCTTTCCAAGTCTCAGTTGGGGTCCTGGCCTCAGTCCTTGGTTCTGAAGTCTCCTCCTCTGGAGAGCAGCTACTGCCTCCTTCATCCTCGGCAGGCCCCTGGTCTTCAGACTCGCTGCTGTCATCTATATCTGTGGGCAGCCTGGAAGAGAAGAATGTGTTCCCTCGTGGTGGCACCTAAGGCACTCCTCACTTAGCCCTCACCCTTCATGCACTCTCCCTGGGCTGAGGGCACATTTCTCTTAGGCCCTGCCCTCTCTAGGCCAGATCCTCCCCAGCAGACTTGCACTGTGTTCTGCAGTCATCACCCAGGGGTTGCTTAGGACACCATCCTCACATACAGGAGCAGTAGAGGTCAGGACCTACCGGGTGCTGGTCACAGGCCTGTTGAGGTTTGCAAACTCTCGCCCTGAGTCCACATCAAAGGGGTCTAAACCAAGGGAAGAAAGAAAAGAAAGTGACCTCTGAATGAGCTCTCGAGACCCTAGGCTTTTCAGAAGAACGTGCAGGTCTAGAGGGCCTCCCACAGAGGGCACCCACCTACGTCAGGCCTCACCAATTTCCTCCTCCTGGGGAGTATGCTTGGCACTGGCCAGGTACTCCTGCTCTGCCTGTAGCACCTCCTCTGGTCCACTGCAGGCTGCGTATGTGTCCAGGAGTTGGCGGTTCAGGTCCAAGAAACCCTTGCCCCACTTAAACTTCTGCAGTAAGATGACGGCAAGATCTGAAAAGCCTAACAGCATAGGAAACAAGACCCAGAGATGTCAGCAATCCTTCTAGGGAATGTGTCCTCCTCACCTCAACTGCTGGGTGCAGCTGCTATCCCAGAGAGCTGATGGTTGCCAAACTACAGTCCTGACTGTCCCCCGCCCGATCTCCTTGCCTGTCCCTCTCCTGAGAAATAAACATTCTCATCAAGTCTGTCCCCAGGTCTCATGGGTCTCCATCTGGGCTTCTCCTTGGACCACAAATTCCCTGAGAATGCTGAGAAGAAAGTTTCTCAGGACAGTGCTGCCTGTGACAGTGAGGACACCTCACTTGCCTTCTGTTTAACTCCACAAGGCCAAGCCTCCAAGCCTGCTGGGGACTGAAACCCTGGGCTGTCCTAATGTCCTCCCTGTACACCACTCACACTTCTCCAGGGGTCTGATGGGAGAAAATACCATTCTGGGAGCAGAGGCCACTAGGCTGTCAGGACAGGCCTGAAACTCACCTACGATGCAGAAGGCAGCAGCAAAAGCTTCCACGCAGGAAAGTCTGCAGGGCCGGCCATAGTTTACAGGGTTGGCAGCCACCAGGTAGGGAAGCAGCCGCAAGTGGCTCCCTCGCATCTTCCCAAAGGGTGTCTCATCCAACCTGGCCCAGGAGCAGTCTATGACTGCAACCCCAGACTGTGCCACCAGCTGTCTGCCAGGAACAGTATAGGCTAAGTTCTGGGGGTTGGCACCACTTTGGTGATGGCCCCCTAAGTGAGATATACCCCTGGAACTTGGCCTCCCAAGGGATAGGGAGCGTCCTTTCTTTACCCCAGACACTGGCAAAGGGCTACCTGGACAAGCTTTTAAGGCAGTAGCTGGAGAAAACTTATTTCCCCTCGCCAGTCCCCAAGTCTCCCCCGCTTACCTGTCTGCGGGGGACACATATTGGGTGCCCATGGGGCTGAGAACCAGGCCGCCGAACCTCTGGCCCAGGCGCAGACAGCGCACCAGGCCCAGCCGGGCCAGCTTGCGGCCGGTGCAACGCCGGGGGTCGCAGTGGCCCAGCTCCCACATAGCCAGCGCGCAGGGCAGCGCTGCCGGGCCCGCGCCGCCCTCGTCCTCCTCGGGCTCCACGGACGCTGCGCAGGGAGAAGAGCGTCCCGGGCCTTAGCGCGGGCTCCAGGGCGCCCCGACCCCCTCTCCCTCCCCCTCGCACTCACCCCGCAAAGCGGCGTCCACCTCCTTGGCGAAGGCCTCCAGGGAGTGGCCCGGGCGACGCCGCGTGTGGGCGCCCTCGGCCCCCGGTCCGCGAACCACTTTCCTGCGCCCCATGACCGGTGCCGCGCCGACACCACCCGGCCCTGGGCAACTGCGCACGCGCCGGCGCCGCTTTGATCCGGTCGCTCTGGCGACGCCACTTCCGGCCCCGCCCCCACGCGGGCCGCCAGTGTCATGTGCCGCGCGGCGGAGCCATGGCGGCCGGAGTGGCCGGCGTGCTGCTGCTGTTGCTGCTGTTGCTCCTCGGGCTCGCGGCGCGCGGTCAGTGGTCCTCCGTCCCCGGCGGCCGCGCGCCCCGCCCCGCGCCCGCTCACTGCCTCCCTCCCCTTAGGGCCCGCGCCAGCGGCTGCGGCCAAGATGAAGGTGGTGGAGGAGCCCAATGCCTTCGGGTGAGCGCCGGGCGGGCGAGCGGGCGAGCTGTGCAGGCGCGCGGCGGGCGGCCCTGACCTGCTGCTATCCCCCTAGGCTCAACAACCCGTTCCTGCCCCAGACCAACCGCCTACAGCCCAAGCGGGAGCCGTCGCCGCTCTCTGGTGAGTGCAGGGCGACGGGCGGCCTCGAACTCGGGCTCTGCGTCCGCTGGTCCAGAGCGTTCTGGCGCGGGGTTCGGTTCCCCGCTGGCCTCGTCCTTCCCTTCCCTGGAGGTGGCGCTGTTAGCGCTTTGGTGTGTGTCTTTCCACAGGCGTCCCCGTGCCTTCATTCCGATAGTGCACACGTAAAACCTTACGTAGTAAGGTTTTGCTATCTTTGCTCTTTTTGAAATCTTTTAACAGTAGTACTATAGGAGTATTTGGTCGTGGTCGCCGTCACTCACTGTATGTCTTCATGGTGATGGGTATAAGTTTTCTTTTCACTTGCTGTTTGGGTAGTCTAAACCCTGGTAGGCTTGCAGGAATTCAGGTGGTTTACATTTTTGATCGTTAGAAATAGTCCCACGCAGAACTTCCTTGTCTCAGGACAGTGCTACCTGTGACAGTGAGGACATCTCACTTGCCTTCTGTTCAACTCCACAAGGCCAAGCCTTCAAGCCAGTTGGGGACTGAAACCCTGGGCTGTTCTGATGGCCTCCTTGTACACTCCTCATACTTCTCCAGGGGTCTGCTGGGAGAAAACACAGAAACCCAAGGATTTTGTTGTTGAACACCTGTGTGTGTCAGGACCTGTGCTGGGATAGCAGAAGTAAGCAGCACATACCAGTGCTTGTTCTCAGGCCTTGCAAGTAGGGTGCAGGATGGGCAGTAGACAGGAAGTAAGAAAGACTGTATAGAATGGGCATGGAAAATGCCATGTGGGAGGGGAGCAGTGTTTTAATCAGCGTTTTCTTCACTGTGACCAAAATGCCCTACAAGAACAACTTAGAGTAGAGAAAACTTATTTGGGGGCTCATGGCTCCAGAGATCTTAGTCCATACATGGCTGACTCTAGTACTGTGGACCCTGGTGAGGTAGGACATAATGGGGGAAGTACCCAGTGGAAGAAAGCTGCTCAGCTAAGGTGAGGTCAGGAAGCAGAAGCAAGGTTGAAGAAAGATGCACCCTTCCAGGACATGCCCCCCAGGGGATTGAACTCAGGGCCTTGGGTGCTAGGCAAGAGCTACATTCGCAGCTTTATTATAACCACTTTTAAGTGAGCAGGTTCAGCAGCATTAGGTCCATCAGGTTGCTGTGTAGCCATAACCACCTCCATTTCCAGGACTTTCTCATACTCCCAGCCAGAAACTACCCATCAAACACTAACTCCCCACCTAGCCCTGGCAGTCATTCTGCTGTCTCTGAATTTGATCACTGTAGGTACCTTGCGAGTGGTGGCATACCTGTAATTTGTGTCCTTTTGTGTCTGACATATTGCATTCCAGCATCATGTTCTCAAGGTTTGTATTTTTAATTTTTCTA